CCCGCCGCCCGCCGAGCAGGCGGAGCCTGGCGGGGCCCCTCAGGCGGGCTCCGGGCGCTGGCAGGCGGCCCGCGGAGCGCTCGGCGGGCTACCGCCTTCCCCCGGCCGCCATTTCCCGCCCGGAGGTGCGGCGTGGGAGCCACGACGGCGAAATGGTGGCCCGAAATGGGAGCGGGGGCGGCCGGCAAGCCTCACTCCATCCCGGCGAGGGCTCACCCCGGGCCCAAAAGGGGACCGTTGGCATCTCCCCCAGGGGGGTTCGGCTGCCCCTAAGAGCCAGAGCGTCACCTTTGTGCGAGACGAAAACGGACGTTTCCACGGCGGTCCCGGCTCGCAGCTGGACTGCGTACAGTTTTCATCGTCCAGGTCCGCTTGTGGTTTTAGCTCTAACTCCCTCCGGCAAACGGGAGGACAAAGGAGAAGTCCTGTCCCCCTCAACAGCAGCGCTTCCCTGAAGAGCAGCCTGAACATCGGGTGCAATCCCACACAGCCCAGGAGCAGAGCAAGACTAGAAACCGTGGCTGATGACACAACTGAGGGCATCCAATTCTTGCTAATTATTAGAAAGGAGACTCGGCCACAAATGAGCTGCAGCTGGGCACACCATGTGGTGCAGATCTCGCATCCCTACCAGCAGTTCCTGGTGAGAAGTAAATTACAAAAAAGGTGTGTTTTCACCCTTAGTAACTCAAGTTTGTAGCTGTAGCACTTTTCAAACACTGGGTTTGTGTTTCCAACACTACCCTGTTTGAAAAAAAAGCTTTGACTAGTAGTTCCACTGAACTTTAATTAGTTACCACTTTAGGTAAGCAAGAACGTGATTCAAGAAACCGTCATACTTAAGGCGTTAGCTCTTGACTAAGGATTTTGGCCTCATTAGTTTTTTATCACTGTTTAATTCCCTCTTTTTGTGTCTCCTCTCTCTGTGGGAGCCACCGGGCAGCACTCTGCAAGAACATGCTAGGCGTTTCAACTGAGCATTGAAATAACAAAGTGCTAGAAATCCCAGAGTTTTGTATATAGTCTTCAAGTTCAGTTTATATTTGTTCTTGTAAGAGGAAGATGTATTTGGAAAGGCAGGAGTTAGGCAAGCTGAAGCTGGTTCATAACAGGGTCAGAAACCATGACAAGGGATGGGAAGGGCTGAACTTCCTGGAATGATTCATATTCATTACTTAAAAATCACTTTCATGGACTTTGGAAGTAATATTGCTTTATTCATGATCTGATGCCAGGAGCAACAGAGCAGAAAACGTAGAGAGCACTCAAAGCACATTAATCTCAGTGAGCCCAGGCAACAAAACACCCACTCCGCTCATCTCTGCATAAATACAATTAACTCATGTACCAATTAACCTAGCCTGTTTAAAATGCAGCAGTGTTACGCTTACAGCTGTGAAGGACCAAGCAGCATTACCAAGCCCATCTGGAACACCTCGGGCAGGGCACTGTTAGCAATACGCTGAGCCCAGCCAAGGTTGAGGCCTCTGAGACCCATCCGCTCCTCTTAAGACCGACCAGAAGTACTCCGAAACCCCAGCCACCACCTGGATGTGCTACCGGCACGAAGGACAGCTCAGGCTCAATCCTCCCCGCCAACCTTCGCGTCCCTCAGACCCCTCAGCGCCTGAGGCGAGAGGCGGGCTCACACCTTTCCCGCCCACAGCCAACGGCTGCTCCCCCCTCCCCCGCTCTCCGCATGCGCGGCGCTTCCCGCGCGCGGAGGCGGAGCCT